AAAATAAAGAAAAATGTATAAGCTAAATTATATGTTAAACAGCTAATCTGAAATTCACTATATAGAATGAGTATGTATGTATGTGTGTATGTATATATGTACCATATTTTTCGGAGTATAAGATGCACAGGAGTATAAGACACACCAAGATTTTGAAGAGGCAAATTTTTTAAAAAGTTTTTGCACTCTGCAGACCTCCCAAAAATGGCCCATTTTTCGCAAAAATGGGTCTTTTTTTTAATAAAAAGGGTATGAATAGACTTTAGGAGGCTTGTAGAGTGCTCCTAGGAGGTGGTGGGGGCACAAATGAGCCCAAAACAGCCCATTGTTTGCTTATTTCTGCCCTCCCCAGCCCCCAGGAGCACTCTGGAAGCCTCCTAAGGGCTATGCATGGCCATTTTGGTGAAGGGGCGGGGTTTCAGGAGGCAAAAAATGCTGTATTCAGTGTATAAGAAGCACCCAGATTTTCAGCTTCTTTTTTGAGGGGGAAAAGGTGCATCTTATACTCTGAAAAATACGGTATGTATGGTCAGAACTTGATTTTTTTAAAGATAATAATATACCTTTACATGGAGGAGGAATTACAGAAAATTTAAGGAAGAACCAATATATTTAGTTAATATATTAACTAAAATAATTGGTTCTTCCTTAAATTTTCTGTAATTCCTCCTCCATGTAAAGGTACCAAATGCACCAAATTTAGATGTCCAAGATATTTTTACTCAACACATAGCCCTTTTCTATTGTTAATCTGTGGCAACAGCAACAATTGTAATATTTTGGGAAGCAGGAAACTTCTCAACTAGAATCTGACTGAGATATACCTCCAGCTCCTATCAACATTGTCAATTATAAGATGGGACTTGGAGGAAGTAAATAGCTAAATCCATAGGTTTCAGAAAGATGTTAATATAAATAAAATAATGCATATATTTGATCTAGAAATATAGTGGAGTATTTCAAGTCTCATTTTTTTCAGAAAATCAAATAATAAGTTAGCTACCTTTTGCAGCCTCATGTTTGTCATCGTCTGCATTCTGAACAGATTGTTTTTTATTCTTCATTTCTGCTTAAGAAATACTACCTGTAAAATAGGGCCACCAAAGGTTAAATGCTTCCTGGTAAGTGATTTAAATAAACCAACATCCTATATTAAATTATAATTAATTATAAACTTCACTTCAAATCATATTTGACACCATATGTTATAGATATTATTTCTATACCAAACTATTGTATTTATAATATAAAGAAATATTGTGTTTTAACACTGAGTAAGAAATTTATAAATCACATTGTTCCTATATATTTAGGAATATGTGTACACAAAGTCCATATAAATTTACAACTACTACGGTATAATAATGCTTCAGATTCTCTCTTAAAGTGTAATTTTCTAAGCAGACTATAGTCACATGATAAATTTCCTTTCAGTATAAGTCCTATTGTTCCATTTTTCACAAAACATAATGACGGTTATATTTTATCCTGCCTTTTTTATATGTAACTCAAGGCAGCAAGAGTACTTAATATTGTTGCTTCCTATTTGCCCCATAACAACCTTGTGAAGTGGGTGGGCTAAGAGATAGTGATTGATCCAGTCATCCAGATGGTTTTAATGCCTAAGAATGTCATTACTGTGCTGTTCTACAAAGAAAAATACAATAGGAATGAATATAAAAATTATAGGAATTTACTTGTTAAACTGGAGAAAGCTGAAAAGAAGTTAGGTAGACAGCATATTGAAAGGGCAGCAAATTGAGAAATACCTTATCTCAGGGAGCAGGGCTTACAGGTCAGATACTTCAGCATGTCATTGAGAAATGTATAACTATGAAAAAACATATATACTTTATTTATTTAGAGCAGGGGTATCAAACTTGAGGCCTGAGGGCAGGTGGTTAATCTGGCCAAAGAGGCCTCAGCCTGGCCCTGGTGTGGTGCTGATTTGCAACCTGGTGGCATGACATCTGGTTTGAACCACAGCCAGCCTTAGAAACCCTTTGGTGTTGGTAGAGGAGGTGGCGAGCACGTGGGGTCTGGCGTCCCTGAGGACTGCGTTCTGAGCGGGTTTTTTTTTTCACCCAAGACTGCCTGCCCTCACCTGTTTGCCGTCTATACGCACGCCCAGAGGGCAGGGCCAAGGCAGCACTGATCTCTGCAGTCCAGCCTGCATGGACGCCACCAGGTTGCAGATCAGCGCTGCGCCTGCACCAGTGTCTCTATGCCCCGATCGCTGCCCTTTCACGTGTGTGGGCGCGCACGTGTGCTCAGGGAGATATCCAGCAGCAGGGGCTCCGCAGCCCGCTGCAACCACTGGATTGGCCCTCCAAGAAGCAGGTGTGGCGGTGGCAGCTGCAATGGTATCAGGCAGAATTAGGGAAGAGGCATATGATGCAGACCATCACATGTGTCTGCTCTGTCCCATGTGGCTGGGACAAGGTAGGTGGCTGCCCGGCGCATCCACCTCTTCTCCGGATACTGCCATTACAGGCCAAGACAAGGTGAGGCAGGTGATAGGGTGGCTTCTGCCAGACAGCATCGGCGCGCCTACTTCATCCTGTCTGTTTTTGCTTGTGGTTGGAGAGGAGGTCACCACTAGTCATCTCAGTCCCCTTGCAGGTCTTGCCTTTGGCCTGCATGTGGAGTGTGTTCTCCTCGTGCACCCAACACACCTTGGCACCATTGTGGACCATTGCCATCATCCAGGCTGCCAGCAGCTCACACAGGTCAATTAGGCTGCTGCCTGGAACACCAGGCCAAGGCCGAGTAGAAGTGATAGAGCACTCCCAAGCCCAGCAGGTAAAAGACAGCCACTGCAAGTGGGGAAAGCCAGATCTCCATCAGCGCCATGGCTGCCCAGACCCAATTTTGATCACCCCCCCCCCGTCTCTACTTCCTGCCAAGTGGTGGCAATGGCAGTCCGTAGCAGGGCTGAGGTGCATCAGATGTGGGAGGGGAACATACTCCACGTGCAGGTCAAGGGCAAGATCCATGAGAGGGTCAAGGAAATGACCAGCAGGTGATGGCAGCAGGCTCCGCAGCCACAGTGTGCCAGCTGAGGGGCCAGTAGGCTGTGGCTGGAAACCATCGGCCTCCGTACCCAAAGGGCAGTGAGTGTGCAGTGGCTGACGGTTTCCAGATGCAGCTGCCCTGCCCCCTCCCTTGCATCACCTCATCCCATGGGACGAGCCTCCTTCTCACCTCCCCACCCGTTGGATTCCCTACCCAACTCCGCCTGGTCCCCAGAGGCACTTCCCATGTGAGCGATGTCGAGCTGCTCACATCCCTGAGCCACTCCCAGTCAGCCGTGACCACCTTGGCCACGCCCTCCCCCGGGCAAACAACCACAATGTTGATCTGACCCTTAATGTAATTGAGTTTGACACCCCTGATTTAGAGAATAAGTACTTTTTAAGTGAAACATCAAGTGAACACTTCACCTAATGACAATCCTAGTTATAGCCATTAAGCAAATCATTCAGAGTTATTAAGTGAAATATCATGTGACTGTGACTTGCAATCTCGTGCTGGCTTCCTTAATGACTTTGTTAGAACCTGTCTAGGAAGATCACAAATGATGATCAAATGACCATAGGATGCTGTGATTGTCATAAATGATCCAACAGGCAATTAATCTATTGATGTAGGGACATTGTAGTAGCATGAGGAAAAATATAGAGAGAGGTATAGTGATCTGGCCAGTATAACTTGAACTTTTATCTATTATTTTGCTGACTACTATTTCTTCTTTTCTATACTGCATGTTGTTTAACCTAACATGGAACAGAATGCTTGGTATGTAACTATATGAATAAGACTGGTCAATAGGACCATAGTCTCATGATGCTACTGGATCCAGGTTTCACTTCTAGATTTCAAAAAAACAATCATAACTTTGGCAACTATTTATGGCATGGCAAGAAAACATGGGGGTTATAACTTTATGCTTTTTTCAAACAAAAAGTGAATATTTATAATTCAGGCCATAGACCTACTTCTGCAATGTATATGATGTGGAATGCAATATTGAAGGAGCTGATCCTAATAATTTATTTCACTACTTTACCAGCTTTACATTATTTAAAGTGCCTTGAGTTAGAGAAGGGGAGGGGAAGCGCCTTCTTTGTAGGCATCAGCCACACCTGCTGGGGCTGCTATTATGGTCAGGAAGGCTCCGAAGGAGGTAGCTGCGGTGGCGGGGAGCAGGAAGCTTTTCAGCAGGCACGGCTGATGTCTCCAAAAGCTGTGCTGCCCTTCCGCTTTTCAACCACGAAATTCCAGAATAAAGTTGGGCGGCCTTTGAGCGCCCCGTCAAAATCTGCAACAAGAGGCAAGTTCACTTATTCACTTACAAAGTTCACTTATTCCTACCAAGGGCTATTATATGGCTACCATAGTTAGACAAATTCATAACAATATTTGACTATTGCTATTATTCAGTTAAAATATAATTAGAACAGCTCCAGAAATACTGACTATAGATGTTGAGATGTAAATCAAATATACCAAACTGGGGAATTCTGCAACAGTAATTCCTATCACATAAATTGCCACAGTGTAAGTGTCTATCTGTTCATGTTTAGAAATAATTCTGAACATAAAATATATATACTATTAAACTGCACTCATCCAAAAAGCCTGTGAAAATGTAATTTCATTATTTGAACCAGGTAATTAAAGTTCAAGTGGCTTACAATGATGCTTACAGCATACAATTTAACTGAGCAAACCATGATTCCTTGCTGCCCTTATCTTACCCTGAAAGACTCAAAATATATGAACTGACATCTTTCATGTATAATCTTCAATACAGCAAGATCAATAATGTCACTGTGTATTTTATAATTTCCTATAATAAAAACTCTTGGATTGTCATGCAAATTGCATCCTGCACATCAGGGAATCTATGCTTAAATATGCTAAATATTTACATTAATTCTCAAGAATCAGTTCCGTCTAACAGAAGTATTTCAAGAACAAGAAATTGAAAGTTCAATATCACTTTTTTATATCCTTTTTGTATATCCTTATGTCAAAATTCCTGAATATCATTCTTTAACATTACCTTCTGAATCTTCCTTTCAGGCTTATTGACTTACTTTGTCCCATCAAATAATGGAAACACTATTCAGCAATTCTTTAGATGAAGGTAAAAGAATATATTTTGTATTCTCTAAATTCATTGTCCTTTCAAAACCTGAGGTCATTTTTTGTGACTTAAGTAACTGCTATCCATGCGGAAAGGGATAAAATATGGATAGGCATTTCTCCCTCCAGATTTACAATTAAGATTTAAAGGATCTGCCTAATCTTTCTCCCTTAAAAAGCAAACATGCTTTTTCAAAGGCAAATGGCTTATTTTTCCTTGAGGAAGAAGTTTCGCTTCTTATCCAAGGAGCTTCATCAGTTGTGACTTTTCTTTTTCCTCGAGGAAAAACAGGTCAGTTGCCTTTTGAAAAAGTACTTTTGAGGGAACCGTGGCTGAGAATCTCCATAGACTTTCTCCTTTAACCACTTCAGAGAACCGGTTTGCAGACACTCAATCTTCGCAAACATACCGTTGTGCAAAATAAGGGTGACTTGCACGCAACCAGTTGTAAACAAAAGAAATCTCAGGCTCTCGTAAACACTTCACTAGAACTAGTTACCGGAGTCTCGCATTTGATTGAACCATCCACCCCCGGCAGTCTGAGCGTAACTTTGTGATAGACGTTGGTCAAACAAACAACATCTCCGCCGACTGCGTCAAAGCAATAAGACCATGTTACCAACAACGCCGTCGTCCAGAAATGGCGTTTTTCAAGGATCTCTCGTGAACGAGACTATCCGATCACTCTCCATGCCTCGGAGGCTCTCCGGGTCGACCCGAGGCCTACTTTCCCCCAGGTCTATCCACGAGAAGCGGCAAGGTCGCAGGCCTCAGGACAGGCCTTTGTCTCCCCTTCACTCCAGCACACGAACATCCGCACCCCTCCCCACGTCGAGCCCTTCTTACCTTTCTCGTCACGAGCACGGAGGCCGCCTGATTAAACGGCGCCTCCGAACGAGCAAGCGAGCGGAGCAAACGGCCAGTCTCCGTCAGTGCGGCCTCAACATAGAGAGCCTGGGCCGCGGTGTCTCCGTGGCACCCTGTGATCTTCGGGGGGGGGGGAGGCCTCACGCGGCAGCAGGAAAAGGAAGCAGACCTCTTCCCCAGCGCCTTCGCTACGGAGTCCGCTCCCGTAGCCACCCGTCCCTCGGCTGCAACGATAATCGGAGAGCAAAAGGTCCCGCTCGCCTGGCGGAGAGAACGCCGCTCGGACGCAACACCCAATCACCTTCCGAAGACGAGGAACGGCGTGATCGGCTGGGAGGCGCGCGACGCTACCTGCCAAAGAGCCAACCGGCCCCCGTTGCCCAGAAGCATTCTGGGAAGGCCCTCCAGGCGCCTGGCAGAGAGGATGCGGAAGTCTTGAGCAGTGGTGAGCGCAGAGCGTGCTCTACAGCGCCCCCAGAGGAAAGAGGGCCGTGTCCGTAAACCCCGAGTCAACCATGCCTTCGGGAAGTGACCTTTTGCTCATCCTACCTGAGTTGACCTCGGAAAATGTAGCGGGATCGGTGGGATCCAAGGGTAAAGGTTAGGTTACGGACTTCGAGGCAGCAGCAAACCTCTTTCTTCTCGCGGCCTTAAAAACGGCATGGGCAGGTCTCTCTAATCCCCCAGGGTTTGATCCCGAATTGAAGGAGGTTTTACTTTCTCATCTGACCTGTTACTGAGCTTCTCCAACCTTGAGGTCACCAGTCAGTTTGGGCTCCGACCGGTACCATTGCCACGTAGCTTGAACCACCGGCAGGAAAATGCTCCTCCGAAGCTTTAACCAACGTTTACTGTATTGTTTCAATTGAAAGAGTTGTTTCAGGAGTTTAAGATAGCGAGAGAGTTTGAGCTGAAAGGAGGAATGAATTTGCATTTGGGTCTCCCGTGTCTACGTGTGATGCTATTTCTTAACTAACATCACACTTCCATTGCGAACTCATTGCCAACCTTCTTTCTCTTCCAAGTTCATAGGGAGAGAAGAAAATACTAGCTGCTGTTATAACAAATAATTTCATGTCCCATGTTAATTACCCGGAAAGACTGGTGTTTTTGTAATGTGAGGAGGGTGTGTCTGCCCTGCTAGCTTTAAGGAAGCAAAGCTTCTATTGTTGCTGGCACTAAGCACTTCCAGTTACAAAATACCAAAATAGGGAGCTGATGAACTGAAAAACTAGTTCAAGGAGAGAGCTGACAATCCCAACAAAAGAATTAGCTGCCTAGATTGAAACATTGGGTTCTCATGGTGTATAAAACTGTGATTTATTTGGCCAACATATTTTTCTTTAAGAAATCCCACTATGTTCAGAGAAATTACTCCAAATTAGCATGTTTCACACAGATCTTGGAATATAATTCTGTATTTATCTGACAAATTGCTGTGTACCTTGAAAATGAATGTATGACGAATGCCATGATTTCAAACTACCAATTCTCATTCCAGTAGTTACAAGGAGAGAAATCATATTACTATATATACTTGACATCTTCCCTAACACCTTTGCAAATGGCTATGGAATTAAAATGATTTGAATACAAAACACAACAAACACTCTGAATATCACATGTTTTACTACTGCATGTTTTACAAGCTATTTTGAAAGTTATTTGTAGGTGAGAGATGAGAAATTCATGGCTTAGTTTAGATCCATGTCTTAGGCTAGATGCTCCCTAAACCCTGGGTGGGCTTTTAGGATCAGGTTAATGAAAACCAATAGAAAAATTCCTTGTGATTCAATGTATTTATTCCAACTGTGAAAGGCTTAAAATATTGCGGGAAGATGTATCACACTTTATATAAACTTTATTTAAACAGCTTTAAAGTTGGATGAAAGTTTCATTATTGTTCCAATAATGTCCTTTAAAATTGTCCCAGTTCAAAAAACATGCAAGTAAATTGTTAGAAAAACTTCCAAATCTAGTGGTAGGCTAATATTTATTTATTTTGAATTTTATTTTATTTATTTATAGCCCGCTTTTATTGTTTATTAAAAAAACTCAAGGCAGTGAACATACCTAATACTCTTTCCTCCTCTTATTTTCCTCACAACCTTGCGAGGTGAGTTCAGCTGAGAATGAATGACTGCCCAAGGTTACCCAACTGATTTTCATGGTGAAGGTGGAACTTGAACTTGCAGTCTCTTGCTTTTTAGCTTGGTGCCTTAAAATCAACCATCAACCACCAGGAGCTATGGTGGCGCAGTGGTTAGAATGCACTAGTGTAGGCTACTTCTGCTGACTGCCAGTTGCCTGCAGTTTGGCAGTTCAAATCTCACCAGGCTCAAGGTTGACTTAGCCTTCTATCCTTCTGAGGTGGGTAAAATGAGGATCCAAATTGTTGGGTGCAATATGTTGACTCTGTAAATTGCTTAGAGAGGGCTGTAAAGCACTCTAAAGTGGTATATAAATCTAAGTGCTATTGCTATTATATCTTAGCTTGATCACTGAATCGAAGTCTTACTTTGAAAAGAAATAGACTCCAAATTATTTTCAAGTAGCAGTCTGTACTTTTTGTCTTTCACTGTTATTTAATTATCCAACATGCCATTTTTTCTCTTTACAGTGTAAATTTAAACATATGAATTCCTGATGGCATCACTTATTGTATTTCATGGACTTTTAGACCTGTCAAACCTATGTCCTAAATGCTGGAGGTGATGGAAGCTATAACAGGCATGTCAAACACAAGACCCTTGGCCAGATCTGGCCCATGATGTGATTAGATCTGGCTTGTGGAGCTGCACTGGAGACAGCGAGGGGCCATCCTCTGCCGCCTCAGGCCCAACCCAGCCTGGCTGGGCACTTCCCCTGGGCGCGCACACAGGAGGCAGCAAGCATGCAGGGGCTGGCATTTGGGGCGAAAGAGAAGTGCTCAGAACATGGTCAGCCTACAGGGCAAGGTCACCAGGGATGCCAGGCCACGCACACTCGCCGCCTCCTGTGTGCATGCCCAGGGCCAAGGTAGTGGGGGTAGCCCCTTGTTTTCTCCAGGCCAGCCTGTGGGCCAGATCTAAGGCTGACCATGTTCCAGCCCAGATAGCAACCACAAAGTTGTAGATCAGCGCTACGCCTACCATGGCCTGCTCGCCGGCCTGGCCTCACAGCCTGGGAGTGCTTCCCTTTCACCAGGACTGCCCCCCATTCCTGCCCCTGTGTGGGAAAGCCACAGCCATAGGCAAGAATGGCTACCGACAGCACTGCCAACTTCGCCTTGTCCCCTCATTCCTTCCTGGGTGTGGAGGTAGGAAGGAAGGAGATGGGAATGAGAAGGAAGGAGGCAGGGAAGAATTTTTGTATAAAACTTTACTTAATCTCAGTGGATAGCAGATATATATTACCTTGGAGAACATTGCTTTTGTAATATCAATGGATAAACTTTATACACACTAGATCAGAAGTCAGCAACCAATGGTTCTATGTAACAACTGCAAGATTAATTGAAAGTTAAAAGAAGTCTCATGCTCCCAGATTAAAATCACATCAGAATTTCCTAAAGTGATTTGAAACAACCCTGAGGGTGAAATGTGGTGCTACAATGAAGTTTCTAAACTGCATTTGCTCTCATCCACAAACTGCATTCCCTGGCTTCTCGACAGGATCTCTCTTGGCTCAGCAGAATCAATTTGGCTCAGCTGTGCAAGCTCACATCATTCTCTCCGATGCTGCTTGGGGGCCGCACTCCGCCATGTCTTTTTAGTCATGCTGGCATGAAAGGGCCATTGCCGTGGTGATGGACCCGAGTGTGGCTCGAGCTGGGCTTGAGCCAAGTGGGGAAAGGGCGTAGAACTGCGGCCACTCGTGGCCACGACTAGCATTATGTGTGATTAGCTGAATCGGGATGTGAAGCTCTCACGAATAGTGGGTGAATCCAAGAAAGCAGGATGTCATTGCTTTGAAGTGCCAGGGAGGAGGGGTCCCCCCCCCCTGGTTTCCCATAGGCTCCCCACAGAAAGAGTCCTCTGAGAAGAGTGGATTTACAGTATTAAAAAAGAAGACAATGGTGATTTAATGACTACTGGATCTCTATATGCGCTACCAATTATCTGAGGCCTGGGATCCCCATTTGTCCCACTCAGAGGCCCAATATATGCCTGTACATGCCTGCTAGGCAATTTATCTACTCTACCTGTATTTATGTATATTCTTCAAAATATGTTTAAACTTTAAAAAAATGGAAAGCTGACTTACCACAAAGCAAAACACCATCCTCCAGAAAATAATTTATTTATATTCCATCATTATTTTTATAAGTAATTCAAAGCCGCAAACATTTGAAATATCCCTCCTCCTATTTTCCCCACCACAGTCCTGTGAGGTAGGCTAGGCTAAGAGAGGGAATGACTGGCCCAAAATCAGCCAGTCAGTTCTTAACGCACTGATCCATTTCTGAAGTTTCCTGCAATGTGAAAGAGAGCTATCTGCAGCCAGTTTTTTGTTTAGAAGTGCATCCACATGTCTTGAAAAATCAGAAAAATTAGGGAGAGACTGGAAGTCCTCAGCGAGACAGTCAGGAAATCTGTGGGCTCTGAAAAGCTTCACGTAAATCCTGGCTGACAAACAGTTGCAGAGGATCTTTTAGACCAGAGGTTTCCTGGAGAGGAAGTGGAGAAGGACCTGCATCTCAATAGACCGAGAGGAATGTAGCTGGTTCCTCAGAGGTCAGAGATTCACTCTCTGAATCAGCAGTGGGGGAGGTGGCATTGTAAAATGGACTAAGTATTGAACAGGAGCGGTGTTTGGGAGAAATGTAGAGATCTGGTGAGAAGATTTAAATAACTAACTGATACAAATTTGAATTTGGAAATGGGAAATAACTTGGAGAAAGAAATGAGAATTGGGTAACCCATTGAAATAAAAAGCTTTGAATTTGGATTTGAAAAGCCTGTGTCTTTAAAAAGAGACTAATTGACAATTGGGAAAGTCATGGAAAAGAACAAGGGGGAAAACAGAGGTAAAAATACCAAGACTAAGGGAGACTTGCTTTGTTCCAAATTACACATCATAAGCAACCCTAATTAACTAGAGGTGGAAAATAACAAAAGGAAGAATCAAGAAGCTTTGTCTCTCCCCTATCTGCAGTTTTAGCTGTACCTTTGAAAACGATCAGTGGAGCCATTTGCCTGAAGGAAGAAAACAATACTTGAAGAACAAAGAAAAAGAAACATAAAGATTAGGCTTTGATATGAAGTGGGAGGGGTGAGCCATGGAAGAAAATAATGTCTTCTTTCTTTTTTTAGCTGACTGGAATATTTGAACTGGATTAGAATCAGAAAATAAGAAGAAACTGTGGAACTTAAATTGTAATTATAACGAACTGAGAT